TCCTGCCCAGTAAGTAGATTAATATGCTGTAGTAGTCATTTTCTAGCTCAAATGGAATCCGTTGCTCAGCATTAGCAGCAGGAGTTGCTGAAGCCTTAGGCTGCAAGCTGTGAACTTTCACCAAGATATGCTTTTGGCTGAGATAGATTTTCTTCTTAGTAGCTGGTACAGTGCTGTGTTTTGGATTTAGTATGAGAATAATGTTGCTAAACACTATACTTAGCAACAACTAAAACTTCAGTGTGTTATCTTAAGTCGAGAACGTTTCAGTTTCCCATGTTTTGCCATGGAGCAGGTGCACAAGAAGGACAAACTGGAAGATAAGGAGGCTACAGCTGTCAGAAGAAGCTGCAACTTGGCAAGATAAGAACAGTTAATGGTCTGCCTGGAGTCAGAGAAAGAATCCAATAAGGCATTAGAAGACCCCAGACCAAAAATCACCATCAGATCAAAAAGGCATATCAAGATCTGGTGCATAGATTGTAAGGGTATAATTGTCTAGGGATTTTTTTTTGTCTGGGGTCCCTCTCCAGAGGCACCCAGCTCAAGCTGGGTGTTGTGTTTTTTCTCTGGCTGAACCATCTGAATATATTATTTTTTTAATATTCAAAGCCTGAGACTCTACTACAGGAAACCTCGGGTCGAGTCCGAAGGAAGAGACTGAGTGTATGTGTGTGAGGAGTCGAAAGGGGCATCCATCAGCTCATCGGAGTCACCCACTGCAAAGGGACTCTGGTCCTGGCATTTAAAGTCCCAGGTGGTGTGTGTGCCACTCCTTGAATGTTGTGTGAATGCTCAGGCAGTGGCTTCTCCTTTAACAAATATATTGGCAAATGACTACCCATGCTGAAACATGAAGACTTGTATCAAATCACTGTCAGGACTCCACATTAAGCTAATTGCTAGACCAGCGATCTCATTTTGGCTAGAAGTTGCTCTGTTCTCCTGTTATATGCATAACACACGCAAGAGTAGGAAGAACGAAGCATTAATTCTGGCTACCTAGTGTAGGAAGTAATGCCAAGTATATGTGTACTGCTAACAAATCAAGGACAACTGTTCCTATAAATCCACATCTTCCCTTTCCTGACCACTACAGACCTTCCAATTTGCTTCCCAAACAAAAAGAGACAGCACATTTTGTGGTTCTGCAAATAAGGCAAAGCAGTATGAGCCAAACTGCCCCATTGCTTGGTTTTAGGCCTTTATCATCAAGCTGGAGAACATAATGGATTTAGCAGAAAATATACAGAGCCACCAAAGTTACTGCACCAAACTGACTGTCATATTGAACCTAACCGAATGGCATAACATGTTACACAGCAGGGACTGAGCTCTGGACAGAAGCTGGCTCCATGTTCAGAAGAAAGGTTGAAGGCTCACAGCTGACCCCTTCTTGGTTGCACAAGCAGCAATACTTACCACCCAATACCTTTTTGTGTATGCAATATAAAATGTGTGGCAGTGGAAGTAGGTGGGAAACAGGAGCGGAGGAAGAGCTGTAAGGGAGAATTCATTATCACTGGTAATGTCATGGACTGAATGACAGATAATCAAACTGGAAGCAAAGGCTCCCTGAACAGCTCCTCAATACAGAGAATATTCTGAGAAGTTTTAGGGCTGCAGGATTTTCTGGATAATTTCAGTATGCATCAATGCTGGTAAACAGTAAGCAATCCAGAAGCCTGCTGACCTCAAGAAGTAAAATAAAGGTAAGACAAGAAGCTCTCTGAAGCTTGATTGAGGGCAGTTCCTGCTCTTCTTAACAGCCTGCTACTGTGCTTATGTCACCTACACAGGTAGTATTGCCTTCCATTTCCTCATAGCTCATGCAGAGCTATGACCACAGCTTCTTTTAGAAAAGAGTGAAAACGAAAACAGGTGTGGGGAATCCTGAAAAATAAGGAGGACAAGACCCCAGAAACTTAATAATCCTTTTGAGTACCATGGTAATGACTTCAAAAGAAAGCAACTGACTGATACTGGTTGGGATGCTATACGGGGCTCTGAGCAACCTGATCTAGTTGAGGATGTCCCTGCTCATTGCAGGGAGGTTGGACTAGATCCTGGGAGGTCCCTTTCAACCCAAACTATTCTGTGATTAGTGCCTTTAAACATTTCTAAGTCTGTCCATTAATCTGATAGTGCTTACAAACCTGAGATTTCATTTTAGGCTTCTAACTGGGGAACAGCCACAGAGTAGTATTTTGAGAAGAGGCTTCCACAGCCCCAGAGCTTATCTGACTCCTCATTCAGTTGTTCAACAGGAATACATATGAAACCCTTTGCCTACCAGGGATTTTGGATTGCAAGAACTACGCAAACTCCACCATCCAAATGGACATCTCCATTGTACTTAAAAACCGAACCAACACAAGAAAAAACAACCCTCAGACTATTCTTTAAATCTGAATGCTACTGAAAGATGCGATATGACATTGTCACATGGGATCACCTGCCTTAACTAGGCATCTCCAAGTCGCATATTTGAGAGAACGCATTTCTCAACTAAGCCTGCTAGTTCTGCCTAGCCACTGGAGAGAAGAGCCACTGCCAGAGCACAGTCCTGCCATCCTGAGAGGTCAAGGGAAAAAAAACAGATCAAATGAATCACACCTTGAAAGTGCCCATTTCTGCTGGGTTTTAGGGTTAAAATTCATGCTATTCTCTTTTCAGGCAAGAGTCCTAAGCAGCAGACCAAACTGTTCCAGAGAGGTGCAAGAGGTGATATCTCCTTGTCCCATGTTGAAATTGTGCTGCTTTGCAAAAGGAGTAAAGGTCCACTGGGAACAAAGGAGCAGGAGTGAAAACCTAGAGTGGAGGAACAGCATCTGCTATGAGGTCAGACCAGATTACTAAGGGGTTTATACTTTCAAGTCCTCAAAAAATTACATGCGAAATGATTATGTTCTTTGATGCAGGCACCCTGGTTCTGCTCAAGTCCTACAGGTCAAAAGTTAAGATCTACAAGCCCCATTAGTACTCTTCATGGTATTGCAGGAGAATGGAGATACTCACTGATGAAGAAGTATTTGTGTTGGTGATTGTATGGCATGTATTTTTTCTTTTTGATCCCAAGCTGTGAAAAGAATCAGAGGAAAAAAAAAAAGAGCACTGAGTGAACACTAAGCAATCTGCACAGGTAACTTGCTGCTGTTTTCTATTCTTTCTTCCCCAGAGGCACTCTTCCTGCACGCTTCCCACAACCCTCATTCCTATTGCCTCCCTCTTGCGTACCTGTCCTATTAGTTTACATACATAAAATAAATTTCTATAAATCTTGTTCCATTAGTGTACAGCTTTGAGGCCTTACAGCTTTGTGAAGTCTTTCAGAGATAAACTTTTAAGCAAGCATGGAATTTTTCTCCAGTAAGCCAAAATAAATTAAATAAGCAATTGCTGAAAAGTAGTTCTAGATATACTTATGACAAGCCAAAACAGAGGTAACACCCATAAGAAAAACCTACGTTGGTGTGTGTGGTAGGAAGGAAACTGCTGTAACAGATACTACCATTGCCTGGTTGGAACAGAATGATGTAATAAAAATTATACCAGAACATGTCATCCATTAAAAGATGGTGTGTTAGGATAAAAATAATTTTGAGAGTGGATAGAGGTGAATTTTAACTGTTGGATTTCCTTGTTTTGGTGTTCTTACTGCATTCATAAATCAATTTGTGAAATATTAGATATTTCAAGGCTGAGTTATGTTATCACTCAAAAATAATCATATGTATTCCCTCCCCCCCCTTTATTCTCTGATTCTGTACACTTAAATGACAGTTTCATGCTGGCAAAAGTCTTCCAAGGAGAAAAACATTTCACTGCTGTAGCTACTCAGAGAGTCTAAAGAACGGATGAAGTTGTACAGCAAAAGGGATTCAGCGTTGTCTTATGCTGTCACTCCTGGAAGTGGCCTAGCAGTATGAGCTGAGAACATCCTATGTGGTCAAATGACTTCTGCACATGAACTGCCAACAACTAGTTCTACAGAGCTACAGGAACAACTCTTGGTTGTTCAGTCCTGCTGTGCTGGCTGCCTTTCACAGCAAGGCTTCTGCCTTCTCCTAGAAGGCATAGATGTGCCAAAGCCACCTGTACCTCTGAGCCTCAGACATTAATATTAAAGTAATAATCCCAGGCCAACTGCAGACATGCTTTGTATTAATGTTTACAAGTTGTCTAATAATCACTAGTTACTGAGTTGTTCCACTAAGTCATTAAGTTGCTATAACCATTAATAGTGTTTTTGCTGATAGATTTTTCACTTTACATGTGATGCACGTACATCATGTCTAATTTATTTACAACCACTTGTCAACCATTCTCAAAATTTTTGAAGGAACTTAATGGAAACTGTGACCTGCTTACAAAAGCTGAAGACAGTAAACACAGGTGAAAGGAATCTCTTTTCAGAAACTGTCAGCACATCTTAGGTTTTGATCTTTGTTGTACAACATGCTTTTTGTTGACTAGAGTGTTCTTCCCAGTTCCTGGTACGTGAGTGCACACAAAAAACACACACTGACCTCTACAGAGAATTTCTTCCCCAAAGTAAACAAGAAAGGGTGCATATCAATATCAGGATCTTTCCGGAAGCAATTGGGTTTGGCATGGTGCTGGGAGTGCAGAAGAGTCCACCATTTAGCTGATGCTCCCTGTTTTATTGAAGAACAAAGTCTGAAAAGTACAATGTTTTCAGAGCCGGATTCTCTCCAATTTCCCAACTTCACCCAATGCTGAACACTACCCTCCAGAGAGTCTTCAGAACACGCGCTTTTACAGGAAAGCCATCAAATCTAAGTAGTTTTTCCAGGGTCAGGTACTTACAATCAAATGGCACATTACAAACTTATGCAGCAAGTGGTTCCACTTGGTCTTCCTGAATACTGAAAGATGTCCTAAATCATGTTGTAACCATGAAGCCTGGACCTAGAATAGGAAAAAGAAAACATTAGGAATGGAGGAAAAGAAGAACTGAGACCAGGACAGTGCCATACCTGTCATTTGCTTTGAAATATCAAGTTGTATTTTTTGGACAGTGCTCCAAAGTCACAATCAGAAAGGAACTATGAAATCCTGAGATCCTTGAGGCTTCCCGAAGAATGTATCTTGCTGAAAGAATCCCAGACTAGGTTTAGTGGGAGCTCCCCACATGCCGAATTTCTTCTTTACATCTTCTGTAAACACATGCTATATAGTGATTGTTCTCTTATGACAAAAGACAACTATGCCAAGTGAGGAAATGGAGGACTACAAAACTGCAATAGTGTTATGTGTAGGAAAGTTGATACAAGTCTATGTGTACATGCTGTGGACTTAGTTGCTTACCTGTGAAATGGTCAGCACCACCAGAGAGGCAATAAAGGGCACTAAGGATGTCCCAAAGCAGTAGAGAATGAGCCAAGCAGCAGTATCCAACAGGAGGATGTGAACGAGGAGGATGAAGAAGAAGAGTTTATTTGGCTTCAGAAGTCCCATTTTCTCAACAGTAGCACGCAATTCACGAAAGTCTTTCACCAGCATTTTCTGTGGGAAGCATCGATGTTACATTTCATGTTTGTAGATTGTAGCACTGCAGCCTCAAAAGCCAAGGACCACTTTAACCATGGAAAGAAGGAGCAAAGAACCTGGCCAAATGGGCAAGAGCTGGCCTTGCATACTAGTAAACTTTATTATTGCTCTCCTGCAGCTTCTCTGTGTCTTTGCTTGATAAGGTACATAGAGCAGAGGAGCAAGCAGCAACCATCACAGAGCACAATGGCTGTACCCCCAGCCCTTACAACTATATCTTTGGTGCTTCCATCGTCTTCTTGGCAGGTAGCGTAGGGCTCAGATGGAAGTTGTGCATAGTGGAAGCTGTACTGTGCGTGCATGAGCATAGCACGCCATCTTGTGGTGGGCCTTTTGGATGAAATTATTCCTTTTCTGCCACCAGTTCCAATAGACTGTTACATGTCTTCACTTTAACCTTCCCAAGGTTAACACGGGAGGGTAAAATGCCTGGATGAAAAACGACACCTACAGCCCAGCTGGCCTCAGGCTGGTGGGCACTGAGGAAGGAGGATAGAAGAAGAAATGAGCACAGCACAGGTGCTAGATCAACCCACCTTTGTCTTTGCCAGCTCTGCAGATGCCCTCCCCAAGCCTGATTCCCGTCTCCGTGCAACCCAACCCACGAAGAAGCTTACCAATCTGCTTCCCTAATTGTTTATGGGAAATGGCATTTGCATGAAGCAAGGCACACACAGGCTCTGGTGCAGGCCAGCTATGGGATCAAGAAATAGGCAAGGCATGGCCACAGATGGGTAATAGGGTTCATGAGATTCCCACCTACATAGGAGGTGTGGCCAGGCCATCTTGGGATGGTCAGACTGCTCTGAATAGTGTTTCTAATGCCCATTTTACATGGGGCCATGTATCATCTTGCCTCCCCTTCAGCATGCAGTGTGGGACTATGCAAAGGAGAAGTCAGGGCAGGATGGAGTCATGGGGAAAACAGATAGTCTTGAATAGTGGGAAGCAATAAGGACCATACAGGGAATATTTGTACTCTAAGACTACACCTGTTCTGTTGTCTGTGCCTCTCTCATGAGGTTTTCTTTGACACACTAGGTTGGTTACTCTCACAATCTCCAAATGATCATGCAGTTTGACCTTGAAACTGATGTAAGAAGGCTGTCCGAAAGGGCAAGCCTGTTAAACTTAATTCAAGGCTAAAACATTCTAACTGCAGTCTCTCCCTATAGATACCTGCAACAGAAGGCAGTACAGTCCAAAAATTTACTATCAACCAGAAATAACTACTTAATTTTTGGTTAGCTCTTTCTCAAAGCAGGGGAAAGAAGAAAAGGTGATAGCTGCGATATTCACGAGAGCAAAACAAGGCTCTGCTATTTATGTAGAGTTGATGTGATAAGAAAAATTCATCTTCAGGAATCTTGTTCTCAACCATATCACGTGGAGCTGCTGGAGTGGGTCCAGAGGAGGGCCACGAAGATGATCCGAGGGCTGAAACACTGCTGCTATGAAGACAGGCTGAGAGAGTTGGGACTGTTCAGCCTGGAGAATTGAAGGCTCCGGGGTGATCTATTGCAGCCTTCCAGTACTTAAAAGGGGCCTACAGGAAAGCTGGAGAGGGACTTTTTACAAGGGCGTGTAGTGATAGGACAAGGGGCAATGGATTTAAACTGAAAGAGGGCAGATATAGATTAGATATAAGGAAGATATTTTTCACTCAGAGGGTGGTAAGGCACCGGAACAGGTTGCCCAGAGAAGTTGTAGATGCCCCATTCCCTGGAAGTGTTCAAGGCCAGGTTGGATTAGGCTTTGGGCGACCTGGTGTAGTGGAGGGTGTCCCTGCCCATGGCCAGGGGGCTTGGAACTAGATGATCTTTGAGGTCCCTTTCAACTCTAACCATTCTATGATTTAGACTAATATTCATGTATTGTTTAAGCAATAGCACAAAAAGTTGTGAAAAACCTGGATCCCATTGTTCCAGGAGCTACACTGATACAGAAGAACAAAGTTTAATCTCAGGATATTTCCCTTTAATCTATCTTTGATCTGATTTACAAGGATAGACTTACATTTTTAGTGGGCTCAATACTGGGTTGATCTGGTGCCAGCTCCCCGATCTGCAGTGACTTCAAATACCTGCTCACCAGCACCTTGTCAACATGGAATGCTACAAAGGCATCCTGCAAATGCACAGGAGTAAAGGAAGAGGTAAGAAACACAAATACTATGGTACTAACCTCAATCTGCTGCACTCAGTAAGGCATTCATGGTGGAGGAATCGCAGTGGCAAAGATGGCTGGTTTACCTTTCTATCTTCTCAACCTTTTGTTGATCTTTTTCTTCTCATGTTTGTCCTATGCTCTTAAACAAGATCTTATTTCAGCTGGCAAACGGAAGAGGTCTGATTTCCACTACTGCAATTACTACAGGTATGCAAGCTCCACAATACAAAATTGAATGAATCTCCATTGTACACCTAAAGCAGCATCTAACTCCCTTGCCTTTCTTCTTTCACCTCTTCTCAACTTCAATATTAGTGACTTTTCCATCTTCCTGGACATCCAGGTCCTCAAAAGATCTTTCCTATCAGCAGACGAGAATCATCTTTGTTGTGTAATTTATCAAAAAAGAAAATTGCCCTTTAAGTCCAACCTCTTAAATGAAAAACAGTTGTTCTTATTCACTAGGTAGAGAACTCCACTCTCTAATTGACTAGGACAGGAAAAACTTCATCAGGGATCAAGTAACACAGAGAACTTAAATTTCTCCAGTACTGGAAGATATTCAGGAGATGAATGCAAGGACACAATCTATATGCACAGGCCTGGTGTTTCTGATCTCTTGAAGATATGAGCATGAAAAAGCAACCATATGATAGCTTATAGGCAGGGCTGTGGACAGAAAGGATGAGATTCAGTCTGTAGGAATGGGATTTTCCCTGAAAATTCTCTAGCCGTGGAAAATCAGTTTTGTACCTCCATGCTTTTAACTTACTGATCTGCTTGCATACCTACTTTCGCACCATCTTTTGTCTGATTCCATTTAGTCATTCTGAAAAGACCAAAATCAGTGCTTCACTGCATTCCAGCCCTGGAGTTACTCTGTCCAAATGTTTATTAAGAATGGTTGTGTGACAAAATGAAGGTGTTTAGCTAATCTCTTTGAGCAAACTGCTACATAATTTGTCCTCTATTCCACAATGACATAGGTCTGGGCAACTGTGTGACAAACACCGAGACATACACGTAACATATGGTGGGTTTAAATACCGTGCACGTAATCGCTGTCAGTGATGAATCAAAAAAAAATAAATCAGCAAGCAGTTTCTCTGTAAAATAATCCACTGCAAATACCTGGTTATTTCATGATGTTGTAACACCAGATGTTTTTACAGTCTCCAAAATTTAACCAAATTTTGCCAAATTCAGCCAAAAATCCAGTCTCAAGATTGTTTCTCCTGTTTTCTAAGCCATCTCATTCCTTAGGTCTACTCTTCTGTTCTTTGTGAAAAAACATCACAACCAAAAGTGGCAACAAAAGGACTCTTCTTCACAGTCTTGTGCAGAGCCACTCTTACTGATATTGTGACATTAATTATACTCATTTTCCATTCCTCAGGTTTCTTTTCTTACTGAGAGCCTTCCATATTTTTCATCCTCTCCTCAGTTATCATCTTTCAAGGCCATATGCTCTTGGTACAATCTTCCAGCCAATCCAAGATAATTTTTTTGATTTTTCATGCTGTACATCCAAAAGATTAAGCAATTGACCTATTCCATGATGCACAGACCTCACTAAAGTTGTATTGATTTTTTTAATAAGTGTTTCCTTCACTTCTTTTTGTCTCTGGTTCCCAGACTAACTAAACAGCCTATTGAATTCACACTGTCACATGAAACTGCTCCTAGTAACAAAAAGGAGTTTCTTACCTCACCCACAGTATCCTGGATATATTCCCATTGCAACTCAGTATGGATATAACCACGCTTGCTTTAAACCAGATAGTTCAGGTTCACATATAATCAGACTACATAGGAGAGCGCAGAAGCCACCACTCACTAGTTTACCCCAATTCTGTTACAGGCTGATTAGTGCCAGCATGGCTTTCTCTGTACTGGATCATAGAATGGTTTGAGTTGGAAGGGATCTTAAACATCATCTAGTTCAAACGCCCCTGCCGTGGGCAGGGACACCTTCCACCAGACCAGGTTGCTCAAAGCCTCATCCAACATGGCCTTGAACACTTCCAGGGATGAAGTGAAGAATTCCACCTCACAGTAAAGAATTTCTTCCTCAGATCTAATCTACATCTCCCCTCTTTCAGTTTAAAGCCATTGCCCCTTGTCCTATCACTACATGCGCTTGTAAAAAGATTTTATGCACCTGCACTATAGACGTACCTATAGCAAATATTCCACTTTTTACTCTCTTCCATAGGTTTTGCTGAGGCCAAGATGCACAGCATGCAGAGTTCAAGTAGGGCAAGATACTCCAGTATCAGATGTATCCATTAATTAGCCTTGGAATAAATAAACATTTTGAATATTGAGCCTTGTCAGAAGTGATGATGCTGTTATTATCTGAAAGTGCCAAGTTGATGAAGATTTATGAGTTCTTCAGCATCTCTGGAGCAAAGTAAAACCCCTTTCTGTTAATTTCATTTACAGCCCTTGAGTTGGAGTTTTATTGTATACACTTAAAAAGAGAGAGGGGGGAAATAACCAGGCATTTTTCCATTATGGTACACAACCATAATAATAATGTGCTTCACACTTCTGTGTGAAGACAGTTGAGCTGATGTCACACAAAACCAGCTGAAATCTTGCAGGGCTTAATGATTTGGACATGGAACCAACCTATAAGAACCAGCTTAGATCCCAAAAACAAAGCATCTGTGTTTTCCAGATCCATCCATTGCCTGGGGTATTCCAGCATCCTAAAATGAAAGAAACCTGACAGCACTAACTAGAGAAAATGAATGATGGAAAATACGTAATCCAAACAGTAGCTAATATAGAATTTGAAATTTAAACATAGTGGACTGAAATTTTTTTTTTATTTCCATGAGCCTCAAACATTCCTTATATGTGGAAGATATATATACCCTGGAGGAGGAGGACCGAGTGGATGAGGCCCTCTACAGACAGATATGAGCTGCCTCACGTTCACGAGTCCTCATGGGGGACTTCAACCACCCCAATATCTGTTGGAAGGACAACACAGCAGCGCATAGGCAATCCAGGAGGTTCCTGGAATGCATGGATGATAACTTCCTTCTCCTGGTGGTAGAGGAACCAACGAGGAGAGGTGCTTTACTGGACCTTGTTCTCACCAACAAAGAAGGGCTGGTGGGTAACGTGACGCTCAGGGACAGCCTTGGCTGCAGTGATCATGAAATGGTGGAATTCAAGATACTTAGAGAAGCAAGGAGGGTGCACAGCAGGCTCACTACCCTGGATTTCAGGAGAGCAGACTTTGGCCTCTTCAGGGATCTCTTCAGTAGAGTACAATGGGATGAAGCCCTGGAGGGAAGAGGGGCCCAAGAAAGCTGGTTAATATTCAAGGATCACCTCCTCTGAGCTCAGGAACAGTGCATCCCAACAAAGAGAAAGTCAGGTAGGAACATGCAAGGAGGCCTGCACAGATGAACAAGGAGCTCCTGGACCAACTCAGGCACAAAATGAAGGCCTACAGAGGGTGGAAACAAGGACAGGTAGCCTGGGAAGAATACAAAAAAATTGTCCGAGCAACCAGAGATCAGGTTAGGAAAGCTCAAGCCCTGGTAGAGTTAAATCCGGCCAGAGACATCAAGGGCAACAAGAAAAACTTCTATAGATATGTCAATGATAAAAAGAGATCTAGGGAAAATGTAGGCCCTCTCCGGAAGGAAACAGGAGACCTGGCTACCCAGGATATGGAGAAGACTGAGGTTCTCAATGACTTCTTTGCCTCAGTCTTCACTGGCAAGACCTCCAGCTGCACAGCCCAAGTCACAGAAGGCAAAGGCAGGGACTGGGAGAGTAGGAGAAGATCAGGTTCGAGACCATCTAAAGAACCTGAAGGTGGACAAGTCCATGGGACTTGATGAGGTGCATCTGCAGGTCCTGAGGGAACTGGCAGATGAAGTTGGTAAGCCACTGTCCATCATATTTGACACGTCGTGGCAGTCTGGTGAAGTTCCCACCGACAGGAAAAGGGGAAGAATAGCCCCCATCTTTAAAAAGGGAAAAAAAGAAGACCCAGGAAACTACAGGCCAGTCAGTCTCACCTCTGTGCCCAGCAAGATCATGAAGCAGATCCTCCTGGCGACTATGCTAAGGCACATAGAAAATAAGGAGGTGATTGGTGACAGGCAACATGGCTTCACTAAGGGCAAATCCTGCCTGACTAATTTGGTGGCCTTCTACGATGAGGTTACAGCATTGATGGATAGGGGAATAGCAACTGATATCATCTACCTGGACTTATCCAAAGCATTTGATACTGTCCCAAACGACATCCTTGTCTCTAAACTGGAAAGACATGGTTTTGATGGATGGACCACTCGGTGGATAAGGAATTGGCTGGATGGTTGCACTCAAAGAGTTGTGGTCAACGGTTCAATGTCCAAGTGGAGGCCAGTGACAAGTGGTGTTCCTCAGGGGTCAGTACTGGGGCCAGTGCTATTTAATATCTTTGTTGGTGACTTGGACAGTGGGATCGAGTGCATCCTCAGCAAGTTTGCAGATGACACCAAGTTGTGTGGTGTTGTGGACACGCTGGAGGGAAGGGATGCCATCCAGAGGGACCTTGACAGGCTGGAGAGGTGGGCCTATGAGAACCTCACGAAGTTCAACAAAGTCAAGTGCAAGGTCCTGCACGTGGGTCGGGGCAATCCCAAGCACAAGTACAAGCTGGGCAGCAAATGGATTGAGAGCAGCCCTGAGGAAAAGGACTTGGGAATGCCGGTGGATGAGAAGCTCAACATGAGACAGCAATGTGCACTGGCAACCCAGAAAGCCAACCGTATCCTGGGCTGCATCAAAAGAAGCGTGGCCAGCAGGTCGAGGGAGATGATTCTGCCCCTCTACTCTGCTCTCGTGAGATGCCATCTGGAATACTGCATTCAGCTCTGGAGTCCCCAACACAAGAAGGACATGGAGCTGCTGGAGCGGGTCCAGAGGAGGGCCACGAAGATGATCCGAGGGCTGGAGCACCTCTGCTATGAAGACAGGCTGAGAGAGTTGGGGCTGTTCAGCCTGGAGAATTGAAGGCTCCGGGGTGATCTTATAGCAGCCTTCCAGTACTTAAAGGGGGCCTATAGGAAAGTTGGAGAGGAAATTTTTACAAGGGCATGTAGTGATAGGACAAGGGGCAATGGCTTTAAACTGAAAGAGGGGAGATTTAGATTAGATATAAGGACGAAATTTTTTACTCAGAGGGTGGTGAGGTATTGGAACAGGCTGCCCAGAGATATTGTAGATGCCCCATCCCTGGACGTGTTCAAGGCCAGGTTGGATGAGGCTTTGGGCAACCTGGTGTAGTGAAGGGTTTCCCTACCCATGGCAGGGGGGTTAGAAGTAGATGATCTTTGAGGTCCCTTCCAACCCTAACCATTCTATGATTCTAAGATCAGGGAACTGTGTATCTTGGTTTTTCTTTTCTTTCTAAATACGCAGCAAGGAATCAATCACATTTATCACTTCTTTTTATAGCTGTTAATTTACCACTATTTTCTACCATTTCTGCATACAACAGAAGGCAAGAACTCCAAGGAATCTGCTGAATGTTTTGGGATGTCTACCACAGGTTTCCACGGTATTAAAACAGCAGTCAGACAAGGAAACACAACGAGCAGAAGTCTTTTTACCCACAGATTAACTCGCCAGCAGTTGGGCTCTTGTCAATTGGTTGATTCTTTTAATTTCGTTCATCTCAAGGCTCAGAAGGACCATATGCAGTAACTACAGAAACATTTTTGGAAGACTGCTTGGGAAAGCACACTGTCTCTCCTTTCCCTCCAAGTCATGCCAGGTGACATTCAGGAGAGACACCTTTCCTAAAGCTACGTTTCTGGAAACAGCTACTGTGGTTGCCACAGGGCTTGTAGCAGCTTCTCCACCTTACCCTGGCTGTCAGCAACCACTGCAGCTTACAGCAGCTGCAAGAACAAGATCAGGAGCTAAGAATAATCCTAAAGACTTTAGCTGGATAAGCACTTACACTCTGGTTGCCCCACGGGCTAAGCCTCTTTATTTCACCTGTTTCCACAGCATGAGGCTGGAAAGCTTGAATGTAGCAGTGACGAGACATACCCTCGACATTGCGACATGCCCTCGGCCCTACGACACACCCCCAAGCCCCACCAGTTCCTAGTAAAACCATTTCCTGATCTCCCACTGCATGATGTTTGCCGGGTACCGGCCTCCTCCACCCCGCATCCCAAAGCCAGCCGGTAGCAAGCGCCTCCCTGCCGTCACCGTCCCAGCCCCCAACGCTCACCGTGGCGTCCTGCCCGGCGTGGCTACCGATGAGTCGGGCCCCTCCCGGGTGCCTCCGGTAGAAGTGGCTGATGTCGTACACCTTCCTCTCAATCACCAGCCAGCGCTCTGGAGACCCCCGCCCCGTGTGCTGCCCGATCTCCTCCCAGGTGAAGCATCGAAGCGCCGGCCCCGCCGCCCGGTCCCCATCCTGCTCCTCACACACCTCCCCAGTGCCCCTCAGCGGTACCATCCTCCTTCCCTCCCGCCTAGCCAGCCCCAGCACCCTGCTCTTGCCGTGGTATATAAGGGTGGGACGTGCCCCCGCCCACCCTGCAGCCCTGGGCCCCCGCCCTCCTCCTCCTCCTTCTCCCATCCCCGGGATGTTGGCAGGGAGGCTCTGGGAAGGGTGAGCGGTGGTGCTGGGCTGCAGGCAGAGCCTCTACCCAAGCTCCAGCTGCTCTGGGTTTGGCCCCCACCACCCCCCAAAAAAATCCAACTCTGCTTCTTCACTGCCCCGGCTCTGGCAGCCACAGTGAGACTCAAGTGTGCAAAGCATAGGTAAGGAGTATCTCACCGCTTAAGTGTTTTTTTTTCTTCTCAGGTGGCTTATTCTGTTCCCAAGACAGGCTTTCTGGGCTCTGACAGTCAGGGAAAACTTCACTTCAAATAAACCTCTGATTAACTTCTTGTTAACCTGAAAAATAATCTCACTCTGGAGCTCAGTTTAGATGTCACAGTCCACGAACCCTTTTGGAAGAAACATGAGCGATGGACATTCTTACGGATTTAAAAACAAACAAAACAAAACATGCCAATCTTTTAAGAACTCAATATTATATTTAGAACGTGCTGAAACCTCGTAGTTCTATATTTACAGTTCTCACCGTACAAACGGAGCAGAGAGGAGGCAGCTTCCGCAGCACCCTTTACAGCAATCATCCTCTCAAAGTGCTGCGCTTGATGCTGCCATTACCTTGGATAAGCCTGGGATGGCACACACAAAATGTTATACCAGGTTCTGATGGTAGGTTGGGAAATGGCTTTTTCTTCCCCTTCCCCTGTCCCCTTCCTATTTGTAGAATTACTAAGCAAACCATTGACTTGGTGACTCCAGGAAAGTAGTAGTAATTGCAAAATAACATTTGGTTCAGCTTGTCCTATCTTTCTAAAGCAGTCATAGCAGTCACATAAATTTTTCTCTTTTCAAAACAGACCATAAAATCTTGAAAATATTATGAAAACACAACTAGGTCAATTATTTCTTTGTTCTATAGAAAATCACATGTTAAAGCCCACATCAGCATCAACCCAGATGGAAGAGCACACAATTAGGGTAGAGCTTTCAAAGCATGTGATCAAAGCTGAAATTAATTTGTCTGAGTTACTATCTTTTGATGGTTTGCAGTATTTAATTCAAATTAATTCCCATACATTTGTAACATTTCACAGATTTCATAGATTTCTAGGTTGGAAAAGACCTTAGAGATCATCCAGTCCAACCATCCCTAAACTCCCATTAAACCATATCTTTAAGTAGTTCATCCACCCTTTTCTTAAACACATCCAGGAATGGGGACTCAACCACCTCCCTGGGCAGCTGACAGTGGCTGACAACCCTTTCAGAGAAGAAA